CTTCCTCACATCCCATCTCAACTGCCCTGGCCACAACTGGAGCCCATTTCCTCTTGTCCTGTCCCTTGGGCCTTGGTTGAACAGACCCACCCCCACCTCTCTCCACCCTCCTCCAAGGGACTTGCACAGAGCCACAAGGTCTCCCCTCAGCCTCCTTTTCTCCAGGCTCAACACCCCCAGTTCCCTCAGCCACAAGGGAACTCAGCACACTTGTGCTCCAGACCCTTCCCCAGCTCCGTTCCCTTCTCTGGACACGCTCCAGCACCTCCATGTCCTTCTGGGAGTGAAGGATCCTCACAGGAGAGCTCTCTCTACCTGTGAAGTCTACAGAGAGCCCATGTGTAGACACGGGGGTTAGAGACACACATGACCATACCCACCCACACATCCAGCACCCACACCTGGGCACTCGCTCCCTCACCCGTCTCATTTCTCAGCCCCGTATCTTCACATCTGACCCAACCTGCCAGCACTGGAGGTTTCATGAGTGGCTGGAACACCCTTGAGATGTTCACATCCCTACATGGCACCGTTTATTCCAGCCCATTTCACTCCTGAAAGCACAAAGTGGTTTTTGAAACCCCTCAGACTTCATCTATCACCATGATGAGTTGGTCTCCAGGAGGAGAAAACGTTGCAGGGAAAATCTGGTGTCTCTTGAGATTTGGAAGAAGAGAGTAGATGCTCTGTAAGCACAGGTCCTTTAGGAACTAGAAACTGAAAGCTGGATCACAGAAGTCGTCAGAGCCAGGTGGTTTGAGATCTGACATGGGATGGAGAAGAGGATTTGCTTAGGATGGACCTCAGCAACTTTGGTTTCCCCCACACCAGCTGAGTCCACCAGAATCCCTGAGCTCCTGGAGTCTGTGGACACTCTCTGGCCATGGTTGGGTGGATTGTCCTGCTCTACAGGTGGGTTTTCACTACCAAAGCCACCCACACCTCTGGGTCAGCTGTTCCCATCATCCTACCACCCCAAGCTCCAGTGTGGGATGGTGTGGAAGCAACCACTCATGGTGGTGGGTTGCAGAGGGTCTGCAGCTGAGCTGGGCTGGGCTTTGCAGAACAGAAACCCCTGAGCCGTGCAGCTGAGCAGGGACCTCCATCCCACAACCATCCCCCTTCTGCATGGACCATCCAAAGTGTTATTGCTTGTCCCACATCATGGATGACCATGCCAGCCTGTGGTCCTGAGCACCCTGTGGTCAGGATGTGTCCTAAAGCAATTATGAGGCCCCCTCTTGCCCAGCATCTTGGAGTCATAGAATCCCAGACTGGTTTGGGTTGGGAGGGACCTTCAAGCTCATCCAGTCCCAACCCCCCTGCCAGCAGCAGGGACACCTTCCACTAGACCACGTTGCTCAAAGCCTCATCCAACCTGGCCTTCAACACTTCCAGGGAGGAGCAGCCACAGCTTCTCTGGCCAACCAGAGAGTCACAACCAGACACAACTCTTGGGTTTTGGGTAGGACTTGCAGCAGCTCAAGGAAGAAGATACCTCTCCTAGATGCCTTCAGCCTGTGCTTGAGCAATGGAGAAGCTGTACCATGCCTTCCTCAATGCCAGGACAGCTGTGACCATCCAGGGCAGGATGTCATGCAGCCATCCCTCCCCACCATCTCCAGACTACCCCTCAGCACAGCCCTTGCTTCACCTTGCATTGCTCATCTGAGGGTTCTTCATGGTTGCAACCACGTCCTCCCATGGAGAGACAAAGTCCAGCTGGATGTGGGCACCACCATGTCTGCTCCCCAGGAGGAGAGACCATGCACTGCCCACCATCCCCACCACAGCCTGACCCAGCCCTTAGATCATCCCTGCCAGGTAGGGTGGGAGGAAGAGCCCCACGGTGCCCAGCAAGCAGACGATGATGAACATCCAGAGGAAGATGCGGTCGATCACCATGGCCACGTACTTCCAGTCCTCCTTCACCTGTCAAGCAGAGAGGGGCTGTAAGTGTGGGGCAGAAGATGCAGCCCCCCATTTGTGAAGACCCCTTGGGGTTAGGAGATCTCCCAGGGCTTCCTCTGCATCTGCTGTTGGCTTGGGGCAAGGAGATACCCCGTGTCTTGGGAATCCCTGGAGCAGCAGATCTAGGGGATGGACCTCTCTGGGGAGGTTGTTCAGGGCAGAGCAAGTCCTACCCAGGGTTTTCTGAGACCACCTGGCTAAAAGTGAAGGTGGGGCCCCTGAGAAGGGTCCCAGCAGGGCAGGATGGGCCACCTCTACTCTCTGAGGGCAGGACAACATGGACAGGAGAGGGACCTCCAACATCTCACAGCCAGCAGAGATGGGAGCTGGAGGAACCTTCAACTGACCCCATGGACTGGGCATCTCCCAGGAGGTGGTTGTTGATCTTCTCCCTGGCTTTGGGTCCTCAGCAGCCAGAGCAGCAAGTGGAGGTCCCAACACTGACCCTCCCATGAAGGTACAAGTGGCAGGAAGCAGCATCCAGGGTGGGGGACCCCCCCTGACCCCCACAACCCTCAGAGGTGCCCACTCACCGAGAAGTCAGCATCCTCGGCTCGCAGGTGGTCCGCGATGTACTGAACCCCTTCCAAGGCCTTCAGGATGCTGGGGGACAGCATCAGACCTCGCTCTGAGCCCACCTTCTCCTCTTCCTCCCCCTTGGAGATCATCCGGGGGGTGGAGCCCCCTGATATCTTCCCAGCTTGGCGCCTGCAATCGTAGCGGCACTGGGTGCCTTGGCCATGAGAGCCTGTCTGGGACATGCGGGTGGGGAATGTCTTCTCCTGTTGCTCCTCTTCCTCCTCCTCTTCTTCTTCCTCCTCTTCCTCCTCCCACTTGTCATCCACATCGGTCTCCAGCCAGCAACGGGAGGTGCTGAGCCTGGTCCCTGGGAGGTCGTACTGCCCCGTGGTCCCCTCAGGAGGAGGTAAGGCTGGAGGTCGTTTCATAAAGAGCCAGCGAGGGATGAAGTTGAGGAAGAAGCTCCTCACCCAACAAGGCATGGTGTGAGTGCTGGGGGAGCGGTGGTGGACATTGAGGACGAACACGGTGATGATGATGGAGAGTGTGACAAAGATCATGGTGAAGAGGAGATACTCTCCGATGAGGGGGATGACCAGCGAGGTGGACGGGATGATTTCAGTGATGAGCAGGAGGAACACAGTGAGGGACAACAGGACAGAGATGCAGAGGGTGATCTTCTCCCCACAATCAGAGGGTAAGTAGAAGACCAACACGGTCAGGCAGGAGATAAGCAGGCAGGGTATGATGAGATTGATGGTGTAGAAGAGCGGGAGGCGACGGATGATGAAGCAGAAGGTGATGTCAGGGTAGATCTCGGTGCAGCAGTCATACTTCTTGGAGTTATAGGTGCCGATGGCATTTATGATGGCCCACTCGCCACTCTCCCAGTAATCCTTGAGGTCCACGTGATGCTCCATGTTCTCCAGGTCAATCTTGGCCTTGTCATAACTCCAGGAGCCGAATTTCATCTTGCAGTTCTGCTGATCAAAGGGGAAGAAGGTGACGTCGATGCTGCAGGAGCTCTTGTAGATGGCAGGTGGCACCCACTTCACCTTCCCATTGGAGAAGAGGTGGGCTTTTGTCATGTGGGTCACGACAAACTCCCCGTCAGCACTGCAGGGGTGAAGAGGTGGAAGGTCAGAGGAGGATGAAGTGTTTCCCCCCCCCAAGAAATAGGTCCAGGAGCTCCATCAGCTCTCAGGGCTGGCATGAGCCTTGGTTTGAGGCTGTCACCCCATCATGTGTCCTTGCACAGTGCTGGGTTCACCCTCCTGGGTGTCATCCAGAGCATGGAGATGGGTGGGAGCATGAGCACCAGACAAGGAGAGATGGATACAGACTGATTTGCAACCTCAGCACTGGGGTGGGATGGGGAACAGGAGGTCCATGGAGGCTGGCAGCACCAGGGAGCTACTGGGATGGGATGGGATGGGATGGGATGG